AGCACGATTACGCACTACTGACCGACCGGCAATGGCGTTGACTGCTGCTACTGCTGCTGAGGATGGGGCGACCAAGCAACGGTTAGCCATCTTTGAACAACGGCAGCCAGTGGCGGCAATGCAGCCAAGTTGCCATGCTGGCGTATCTGAAGGTGCGTGGTAGCAATAAAAAAATGAAAGAAAGAACAACAACAGCGCGACTAAGCGATCTTGACACTTGAATCTGCATCAGAATTGGCAGCGTCATCATTATCGTCGCGCTCATGCCGCCCGCCACACAGTGGTCTGAGAGTGGCAGAAAGTCCTAATTTCGAAATGTGTGGAAATATCCAACTAACTCGATTCTAAAAATGTCTACACTGAGGGAAAAAATAGTGAAATTGAAAAAAAATTTAATCTTAATAAACCCGTCAATGAAAGTACTGTATGGTGGCACATACATATAAAAATGAAGGATTTTGCACTTCATGAATGGCGTTTTGCACTTGAAAAAATTACGTATATTTAATTTGCATGTTGCCTGCAATGAAATTCTAACACTGATCCTCCGGAAATCAATAAATTTTGGCAAGCATATTTGCAGGATAGTCCTTGCAATATTAGTATCCAGAATTCGGATGGGTGGTGGGCGTTGCAGTTGACCGATTTTTATCATCTCTCAGATTTATGTCTTCCTAACTAAGTTAATCTAAGTCACAACTCGAATTTCATTGATCTCGGAGAAAATTTACCATATCCGCCCCTAGTGCAGTGGGCGTGGCAGTCTGCTCAATTCAACAATTTTTCATATTTATTCAATCCTACACAAAGGTACTACACGTTATAATTGTCAGCAAAATCGGGGCACATTTACTACTTTTAGCCACATTTTATTTGGAGCTGTTGCACTGTGCGCTGCGCCGCTGCGTAGCGTTATGCAATGGTTCTTCGTTGTTGTGCTTTTTTTTGTTGTCATATGCGTTGCGTATTATTTCAGCCAAGCTAACCCAATAAGTTTGGGCATTGCCACTGATGCGAACAATTTCTACGACTCATTGCGTTGGCAGGCACTGCTTCCGCTACAATATAGTTACATACACATAGGTGTATGTGTGTATGTTAGTATAGCGGTTATAGCAATGTGTTATAATTATTGTTGTAAATAGCTGCTGTTGCAACCAACATTCTTTTTTCCCCATTCATTTTGTTTATTTATTCTAACACGCATTTTATTAGTTTTTGTTTTTGCTGCTGCTGCAACATTTGCCACAACGGCAGCAGAATAAACGCACAAATGAAGCGATGTCCATACATACATACATACATACGTTGTTGGGACGGACATACAATAACAATCCAGTTAGCCGGTTAACTGCTTGTAGCTGCCACTTTAGTTTATAAGTGCTACGTGCAACATAATCTTAACACATACACATACACATACACACGCCTTTCATGCGTATTCATAGCATACCAAACCACTTGCCACCAACTCAATCAATCTTTAACCCGCTCACAAGCACTTAACTATTTACTCGACTGCAATCTATATTTATTTTGCTTCTTATACTTATTATTATCTTCTTCTTTTCCTTTGCCCATTTACAGGATGACATGAGCGATCAGTGCAGCCTCACACAGGCCGGCCTCGAAGAGTACAACATACGCGCCTCATCCTATTACGATCAGCCAGCGATGTTGTTCCATCATCAAAAGCAATCGTCGTATGCACAATCGGAGGGTTATCACAGTTATGTCTCCAGTTCGGATTCCAGCTCGGCCACACCATTCCTGGACAGGTGAGTTTTGTAATGCCACATTCAATGTACAACATACCGGCAAACAACCTAACATATATACATATATGTGTGTATGTATGAATACCCAATTTGCCAAACGACTTCGTAACAACATCGTTTTCCACTCATTCTGGCGAACTCGCCGTCGGATGAAAAGCAAAAACCATACAAAATCCCATTTTAAATTATGTGTAATATTTAAAAAACAAATCAGCAAGCATTCCCAAAAGTTCCAAACTCTTCAATCTGAATTAAAAGAAAAAATATAAAGCAATATTATAGCTCACTAAATTTTAGTGTAATAGAGTACAAATTTCTGAAAAAGGGAATTCGATTTGACGTCGTTTTCGAGTTCACCCAAACGATTTCACCAGACCGACGTCGTAACGACGTCGATTCGAACTCGTCTTCGCTCTGTGGCTTATTGGGTAATTGTACTCTAAAGTATTGTATATTTTGCTCGCATTCGGTGCATTTGCTGGCCGCTTACACCAGAGCCTGCTGCCATGGCATGTTGCAAGTTGTCCGTTGGTCGCGTTGTTCATTCGCCTACCTATTTATTGGCCGTTGGCTCTTAGCTGCAGGCCGTTTGTCATTTGCTGTTTGGGCATCTTGGTTTATTTTAGGCTCATTGATGTTGTTTAGTTGCTTGTTTAGTGATTTGTTGCACGTTCACAGCGCACACACACACACACATACACACGCTCACATGGCAGGCGGATGCTAATGGGCAACGTCCTAGTCGCAACAAGTTATGGTCAGTTAAGACAGCTATTGGTTGTATGGAATGCGACAATCGAGTTTTTTCTCCTGTCACGAAATGTTTGTCATAACGTTGGTTTCTGAATGTGAAGATATATATAAATATACATTTTTTTTTGATTTTGTAAGTGTTCCATATATTTATTTTTAAACCGTGCCAGTACTGAAATTATGGTGTTGCCAGAGTATCAACTGCTAGCAGTAATACGCAATAGGTCCAAGTGTTATCAGTAGAAGGATTCCGTCGACATTTTTGTGAGGTTATCAAGCAGCCATTTTTTCTAAGAGCAAAAGCTGTTCTATGGGCACTAACTCCAGTCTCTCAGTTTTAAACAGTTACAGAGAATAAAATGCTCGATCGAAACCAAATGTCGTTCTCGTAGTTTTGTTCCAAAAAAACGCCTAAAACCGAAATGAGAACGAAACCTTTGTGAGTATTTTCACAAAACCAAGCAAAGCATAGAAGCGAGAACAAAATTTGTCTCATAGCGTTGCATTATTTCGAAATGTTCACGAAAGCAATTTAAGTGAAAAATGATTTTAATTTTTAGAATGTTATATGGAAATTGACAAAAAAATGAGAAATCATTTAAATTGCTGGTGAAACCGGCTGTGAAAGTTAATTACGCAAATTAAGTCAAGGAAGGACTTAAGACACGAACTTTTCTTGCACCGAAAATGAAATATTGGTAAATAAATGGACAGTTCACCCTAATGATAAACGATCTGGAGGTTCAAATGACCCAGCTTTTCTCTGGCTTAGAATTAACAATCGTGATTCTCACTGAAACGATTTTTCAACCCAACACACAGACGGGCCTCTCAGTCTTAACGTTAAGTTCTCAAAACGTTTGATCTCCTTTTTTTCTCTAGCAGAATGCGCCCAGATTTATTGTTCTTATTTAATTCCCCTTGAAAAGTTCTCGATACCTTCGTTCTCATTGGAAACGTTCACGTAAATTTCATTCTGATTATCGTCTTCTTGAGAACATTGTTGAGAGTTTTGTCCACATTTTATTCTTTACGGAAACGTTCCCGTATCCTTTATTCTCATTTTATTCCTGTACAAACTGCTCTAAACACTTTTGTAACCATTCTGTTTTTTTTCGGGAACGTTCTTGCCATCACATGTTGTTCTCGTTTAGAACTAAACCGAAACCGGACTGCATTCTCGGTTCACTGGTTTTAAAACAATTTCGAATGTTTTTTGATGGTATGATGAGAGCCAAGTCACGACGCAATGATATTGTGGCCGCTAGTGGACAAGAAAATTGTTTAAGCAACAAACGGTTTTTTTCCGAGTTTCGCTTTTTTTGACTTATGACACTATTGAAGTAGATGAGCGATAGGTTAAATAATTTTATAATGTTTTCACAATAAAATTTTCGTTTTAATTCACCCAATTTCCTAGTTTCACTTTTGTCGACCCCTGGTGTACATCCCAACAAATTTAAGACACTGCGCCAAACGACAACGACATCAACACCAATTTTAACCACAGCATTTTAGGAATTGAGTGTCTTGAAAACAAATGCTCCATGAATACGTATAACGATGAAAAGCCTCTATATAAAGAAGTATCGACTCGAAAGTCTCTACATAATGAAATCTTAATATGTTGCCGGTTAAAGTACCGTTACTTGACATATAACAATTTCTTTCAAAATTTCGCATTTTTTGTTAAACCGAGATTTTGATATTCTATAAATTGTATAACGAAACTATAGGTATGGGGACGTATTCATACAACCCCTTCAGCTTCGTTAGACCGAGCTTTCATTGTAGTATGTAAATTAGGCTGTACCAGAAAAAGAGTACACCTTCGAATCTGAAGTATTTTTGCTAGGTAATTTCGAACTTTTTTTTGCCGAATGCCTTTTTTACATTTTTCGTCATGACCCCGGCATTTTCAGGATGATAATTTTTTTTTTCCAAATTTCATGGATCTCAAGTAATTACCCACCAAATCTTAATCCTTATCACCCTAACATACCGCCTTGATGCCATCAAATCGTTTAACATAATTTCGAATATTCCAGTAGAAAAAAAAAAAAAAAAATAGTTTATTACCGAATGTATGTAGGTGTTGCCGAAAAATTTAAAGAGGCAACCTCTAGGTTCGACCAAAACAAAATATTTTTTTTTTTTTTGTTAATTCCAACGCTAAATTATTTTAGACCCAGGGGTGTACAGCGAACATTTTTTGTTTGCTTGTTGGGTGGTATGGTCTAATGTACACATGTGTATATATAAACTCGTACATTTGCATAAAATTGTTCCAATTGGTGTTAAAAACGCACTTCAATGATAAGGTGAGCCTTACGGCCATAATTTTGCTGTTGCTCGACTCAATTGCCTTGCACTTAGCACAGAGCACTTAGGCGCATGCGTGCATGCATAGAAACTTTGCATACGCTCCGTACAATGACTAATAACAAATATGACCACAAATAAAAGCACACGTACAAGTAGCATTCAACACAAGTAAATATACATACATATGTGTACGTTACAAGAGCATATCGCACACGATCTTCATAGGTGACACAACTCAAAATTACATGTGCGTCAGAAAATGCGGAAAACTACTTTTAAAACATGCTAATCATATGGGCAAGCAAGACTTTAACTTAGGGTTTTTCAACAATTTATAACAAAAATTTGCTCCAGCTTTTGTTGAAAGCTAACCCAAAGCTTTGTGTACATTTTTAATGCATTGTTTCAAAAATGTGAAATTTTAAGTTGTGTCACTTTTAAAGATCATGTGCGATATATGCATACATACTCGTCATATTGCATCTTACGCACTTAGGCGGCACTTAAGTTTCTATGAGGCACGTAGTCAGTATATACAACAAACCAATAATGACTCGCAGACAAACTTGTGGCGGAGTAGCGGCGCGGCGGCCAACTTGCTCTTGACAAGATGAGGTGTTCGGAAATAGTATCTATGTTAGGTGAGGTGTACGCTTGTGCGTGTGTTGTAAAAAATGTGCCGCGGCGGTGACAGCGCCAAAGGTTTATGGTTTTAGTGGTCAGTGGCGCAAACGCAAATGCGGGCAACCGCAACATTGCCAGTGTGACTACTATTTTCAGCCGACTTCTGCATCTTCGCTGTTGCAACTACGTCCAGTTAGCTCATCAGGCAGGCAGTTAGTGTAAATTTATACAAATATTACATTTTTTCAGTGTCATGTAAATATATGTATGGATATTTGACTAAACTTGTACTTGTACGCTGCTTGACGCTTGGCCATGGAAACATGGCAAGCGGCAGCAACAGCAACAGTAACAGCAACGCAACTCATAAATATGCATTTAATAGCGTTTGTGTAATTAATGTTATGTTGCTGTCGTTCAACACGTTTTTGAATTGCTTGCAACATTGCTTGTATTGTCGATTGCTGTTGCTACTAAATTATGTACATAGAAATGCAGCTACATATGTATGTATGTATGTAGCCTGGTTTTTTTGTACTCGCATTTGTGCGTTGCACTTCCACCAGCTGGTTGTGCACATTTCTTACGCATTTTATTTATTTTTTTGTTTTTTTTTATACTTGGACTTGAAATATCTTTAAGATGTCTTTAAAATATATAGCAACTGCCAGAACGTGTGAATGTGGACTTTTAATATTGAAATATATGCAGTGTAGAGCAGAAGTTTCAGACACTCATCCAAATATTTTTGTCTTATTTTTTTGGAAAAAAATTGGTTTAATTTCTTAACTTAGTTTCCTTTTAGCTCAATACATTTAGTCTAGTGTTTTTCCACTTATTTTACTGTATTCAAATAAAGCGTTTGCTCAAGATCCTAGACATTTGTTTTGTTGCAGTAGCGAGCTCTTCATCCAACCCAAATCTTTTATCTATTCATTTAGAGTTGGAAACCGAAAAGGTTGTCCGCTTTCAGCGTGACGAACACAAACTGAATGATTTAGCTTTGATGGTTCTCTACTAACAAATTCACTTGCTTTCCAAACCAGACGATTCAGACGATCCCTCTAATGAGAAAACGGTGAAAGTACCAGAAGCTTCTGGTGGCCTATACCCACACCAGTTCGCTTTCCAACTGTGAACGCTACGAAACTTTAACGTTCCCGCGTATTTGACAGGACTGATCACCAACTCCTTTGCAACGCCCATAAACGGTGGCGTGCTAAACGTACATATTCCTACGGTAGCAAAGAAAATCGGGTTTGCAGGTGACTTTGCCGTGGTAGTTGTTGCCAAACATT